GCCCTCTCGGGGCCTTCTTGGGCTCCGCTGGAGGGCCCTGGGAAAAGCCCAGGAGGGCCCCAAGACGGCTCCAAGGGGTCCCCAATACGATCCCAATAAAGCCCCGAGATCGGTCACCCAGACGATTCCAAGAGGGCCCAGAGACGGCCCCAAGAAGACTCCAAGAGGTCGTCGTCGTCGTCGTCGTCGTCGTCCTTAGTCCTTTGTCGTCTTCGTCGTCGTCGTCGTCGTCGTCGTCGTCGTCGAGTTCCATGCGTTTTTCCCGTGCGGCCCCCCTGAACGGGCAAAAAAATAGGGTTATTGCACATTGCGACCGAAAGTGCTTGTCGCGAGCATTCACCGCCAACGCGCCGAGGCAAGGGCTCCAACGCGAAAATGTTGAAATTCCGATGGGTTTTTGACTCATCAGGGGGGGCCGCACGGGAAAAATACATGGGAAAGTTGCCGCCGTCGTCGTCGTCGTCGTCGTCGTCGTCGTCGTCGTCGTCGTCGTCGTCGTCGTCGTCGTCGTGATGCCCCACGGGGTACACTGGGTACATCCGATGTCCTACCGGGACCACCGGGTAACTCATGCCCAGATCCCCCCCTGCAAGGTCGAGTTACCCGATGTCCCCCGGGGACCACCGGGTAACTCCGATGTCCCACGGGCCGATGTCCCACGGGGACCACCAGGTGACTCCGATGTCCCACGGGGGACACCGGGTAATTCCGATGTCCCACGGGCTTATGTCCCACGGGGACCACCGGGTGACTCCGATGTCCCACGGGGGACACCGGGTAACTCCGACGTCCCACGGGCTGATGTCCCATGGGGACCACCGGGTAACTCCGATGTCCCACGGGGGACACTGGGTAATTCCGATGTTCCGCGGGGGACACCGGGTAACTCATGCCCAGACCCCCCCCCCCTTGCAGGGTCGAGTCAATTACCCGATACCCCTCGGGGGACACCGGGTAACTCCGATGTCCCACGGGCCGGTGTCCCACGAGGACCACCGGGTAATTCCGATGTCCCACGGGTGACATTGGGTAATTCCGATGTCCCACGGGCCGATGTCCCACGGGGACCACCAGGTAACTCCGATGTCTCACCGGGGACCACCGGGTAACTCATGCCCAGACCCCCCCCCTGCAGGGTCAAGTTACCCGATGTCCCCCGGGGACCTTCGGGTAACTCCGATGTCTCGCGCGGGACACCGAATCATGCCGAATGTGCCCCCTGCGGGGTCGACTTACCCGATGCCCTTCGGGGGACACCAGGTAACTCATGCCCGACACCCCCCCGTGCATGGTCGAGTTACCCGATGCCACCCCCTCGCCACCGGGTCACTCGTGCCCAACACCCCCCCCTGCAAGGTCGAGCTGCCCGATGTCCCCCGGGGGACACCGAATAAGTGTGGGGTGTGGAGCGCACCCCCCAGTTACCCGATGCTCCCAAGGAGGGGCGCCAAGTAACTCATGCCCGTCGTCGTCGTCGCCGGTCGCCGGTCGTCGGTCGTGAGCCGGCAAAAAATTTGAGGCTTCGGATCCGTTATGGGGCCCCCAAGGCCCCGAGGGCTCCAGAACCGTGGGGAAAAGCAGCGGCAAAACGTACCACTCCAGATGGTCGAGCCCATGAAGTGCTCAGACCGGCGTTTTCATATTATTCCTTCTCATCAGATTCCTCATCATTTCCCACGTCGTCATCACTACCACCATTGTCACCATCATCGTCGTCATCATCATCATCATCATCAGGTCCCTTGAGCCCTCAGTCCTCAGGTCCCTGGAGCCCTCAGTCCTGTGTATTAGTTTTATTTCAGGGGTCGACCCCCCCAGGATGGCCCCAGGATGGCCCCAAGAGGGCCCAAATCGTCTCTGGACAAACTGGACATGGATGTCCAAATTGTCCAGGCGCCGTGGGACACTTCAAGGTGCCGCCCGCTGCGCCGCCCAGAAGAAATCGATAGCCCCCCGCCGAAGCTTCAAGACAATTTGACATGGATGTCCAAATTGTGGAGGCCCCAAGAGGGCCCAAGACAGCCCCAGCCCCCGCCGACGACGACGACGACGACGACGACGACGACGACGACGGCGACGACGACGCCGCCGCCGCCGCCGTCGTCGTCATCGCCGTCATCGCCGTCGTCGTCGTCGTCGTCGTCGTCGTCGTCGTCGTCGTCCTCGTCGTCGTCGTCGTCGTCGGCGGCGGTGGCGGCGTCGTCGGCGGCGGCGTCCTTGTCGTCGTCGTCGTCGTCGAGGCCGCGGCCGCGGCCGCCGCCGCCGCCGTCGCCGCCGCCGCTCCCCGGGCGGTGCGCGACTGCAGTTGTGGGAGAGCGATGGGGGATCGACAGTCTGCAAGGCTGAGTTTCCTCCACGACGACGACGAGAACCAAAATCGGCTCAAAATCATTCTCGGTTTTTGACCGCTCCCAAGCCCGAAAACAGCGTCCAATGGCCGAACATCATGAAAAACCTCATCGAAACTCCAGCCTCGATCGTTGAACGACGACGACAGACGACGACGACGACGACGACGGACGACGACGACGACGACGATGACGACGACGACGACGACGACGACGGCGGCGGTGGCGGCGGCGGCGGCGGCAGCGGCGACGGCGGCGGCCACGACGACGAGGACGACGAGGACGACGACGACGACGACGATGACGACGACGACGACGACGACGACGACGACCGACGACGACGACGACGGCGACGACCGACGACGACGACGAACGACGACGACGAAGACGACGACGTCGACGACGGCGACGGCGACGGTGGCGGCGGCGGCGGCCACGCCGACGGCGACGACGACGACGACGACGACGGCGGCAATGGCGACGACGACGACGACGACGACGACGACGACGACGACGACGACGACGACGACGACGACGGCGGCGGCGGCGGCGGCGGCGGCGGACGACGAGGATGAGGAGGAGGATGAGAAGAGGGAGGGGCGGAGGATGATGGGATGGAGGAGGAGGCAGCGGGGGAGGAGGCTGGAGAGGATAATGAGGGGAGGGAGCTGCAGGAGGAGGAGGAGGAGGAGGCAGATGATGAGGGAAGGGAGGAGGAAGTGGAGGGGGAAGAGGACGATGGCATCAGTGCTATGCGCAAGAACTGCCACCATCCAGAGGTCCAGATGAGGAGGAGGAGCAGGAGGAGGAGGGAGGAACCCCCAAAGCCTGGGGGCGGCCCAGAGTCTGAACAGCACGTTTTTCAGCTTCCACCATCAATGGAAGATATAATCAGGCGTGTCAGGGAACCCACCTATTAGCACTCTCTCTGGGTGACGGTGGTAGAGAAAACCAACATCCAGTTTGCTTGTTCGCGGAAAGTGCGACAACATGGTTGCAGCGAGAGTGTTTGGGCTTCGCGGACCGCTTCGACCGTTCGCCACATCCTAAATCGGACCTGAGGGAGTTCTGGGAGGGGATCCTTCCAGGTGGCACTCGACAGAAGCTCTCTGGCCATTGGCCTCTTTTTTTCCCCTCGGTCTCCCAATACACTCTCACCCCCAGACCTTGTAAATGATACTTTGTCCAGAGGCGTCCCTCTGAGGCACGACCGTGGTGTGTTTGTGTATGTTTTTTGCAGGTATGAACGTTTGTCTGCCTTGACCTGTCGAGCGTTTGAGCGTTTTGCTTGGCAGGCGAAGATGGAGGAACAGAGGGAACAAGAGGAGGAGGAGGAGAAGGAGGAGGAAAAGGAGGAGGAGGAGGAGGAGGGGCAGGAGAAGGCGGGGAGGAGTAGAAGGAGGGGAAGGAGGAGGAGGAGGAGGACGAGGAGAAGGGCGACGACGGCACGAGGAGGAGGAGGAAGCAGGAACAGGAGGAGGAGGAGGAGGAGGAGGAGGAAGCAGGACAACAGAGGGGGAGGAGGAGGAGGCAGGAGGTAGGATGGGAAGGGGAGATGCAAGACGAGGAGGAGGAGGCATGAGGAGGAGGAGGCGTCAGGACGGACTGGATGGAGGTGGAGGAGTGAGGAGGAGGAGGTGGAGGAGAAGGGGGAGGACGAGGAACGGGAGCAGAAGCAGGAGCAGGAGGACCAGGAGGAGGACCAGTGTGAACCCAAGAGTCATCAACGGTGTTGGAATATGCCTTCCCTCCAAGCTCTTCATAGGCCCCCACAGCGGATGAGGAGGAGGAGGAGGAGGCCCAGTGTAAACCCAAGAGTCATCAACGATGTTGGAATGTACCCTCCCTCCAGGCTTCCGTGTCACAGGCCCCGACAAGGGCTAATTCTCATGAAGGGAATTGCTTCGTTGGACGACAGCCGTTCGAAGACCCTGAAGCATGTCAAAGCATTGTTTTCGGGATGCCAACGCCACGGATCAACTTGAGGGTTGTGTCTTGAAGACCCTGGATCGTGCCAGAGCGTTATTCCTGGGACTTCAACACCGCGAACCAATGTAATTGTTACACCCTCATAATCCTGAATCCGTCCAAGACACAATTTCTGTCACGCTATTTTGGGAAATCCGTGCAATTCTTGCGAGTTATCACGCATGTGCGCGGCGCCATGGCGAGAGCAACATTTTGAAAAGGTACCGCCCTCAATCCGTGAAGCTCACGCAAACAACACATCGGATGTGCGAGGCGCTAAGGCGAGAGCCACATTTTGAAAACCAGGCGCCCTCCATCCGCGAAGCTCTTACAATTGTTTTAAAACGAGTGTGCGCGGCGTTAAGGTGAAAGCCACATTTTGAAAACGACCCGTCCTACATCTGTGAAGCAGTGTCATGTTATGTAAGTTACAGGGCCACACATTGTGGCTAAGTGTCAGGCGAAACGCCTGACCCGCCCTAAAGACTTGCTTCGGGGTGCGACAGGAAGAAACTATGTATAAGGAGAAGGAATGGAGCAGGAGCACAAAAAGAAGGAGGAGGAGGAGAAGGAGGAGGATCGGGTCCCACCGTGCTCTTCGCCCTCCCACCTCCCCCTGCGGGGGGTCTGGGGCACACCGGCGGCGGGGCCGACAAGCGGCGATGGCCCACGCGCGCCCGGCAGGAGGGCCGGCAGTGCCTGCGGCTGGCCTTGGCCGAGGAGGCCGCGCAGCGGGAGGATCGAAGAAGAGAGAGGGCGGCACGGACGTAAACTCCCCCGTGGATTGCTCGGATTGGCGCTGGGCCCCCCTTGCGGCTGTTCCAGCGCCGCCCACACCGCGCTCAGCGCCCCAGGGGGGAGGGTTCGGCGCAGATCCACAAAAGCCGCGCGGAGCTCCGAAAGCTCATCTCTATGCTGTTTTTCTTCCTCCAGAGGTGGCGTCCTCCCCGCGGAGGAAGAAGTCATGCGAATGATACGCCCCAGTATCCGATTCGATGTTTTTCGATGCACTCGTTTCTCCCCGGCTTCGGACTGGGGCCCGCAATCGGGTCTTGGGACCATTGAGCACGAATCCGGGACGAAACTGCCCCTGGGGAAGGAGACAGGGCCTAGGAGTCCGCGGATTTGAAACAAACATGTCGGAAGGGGATTCAAGGCGTCCAAGATTTCTCTGATTTCTTGTCGTTCCGCTAGTACTCAAAGAGCAAGGGGCGCCAGGCACTCCGGTGCTCCTGGGGCACATGCTGACTCAGTCGCATCATGGCAGCATGCTCGTCCTATTCTCCACCCCGCTCGTGACGGTTCTGCAAGTCTCGTCGTTACTATCGCGACGCGGTCGGGTGGCTTCCGACGATACATCCGTCTTGCACGGCCCCTTCCAAGGTTGAGAGGCGCGTTGGGCACTCTCTGTTGAGCGGCCCCTTCAAGGTTCCTTGCCTGAATTGCCCCCCGCTCATACACCTCGATGCGTGGGCTCCATCTTTGAAGATGGGGACAAGTCCCCTGCTGTGCAACTTCAGTTTTGTTTCGTTAAGTCGGAGGAGATTCGGTAATCATGGCTAGACTTGCGCGCTTGTCTTTGTTAATCTAGGTTTTCCATGGTTGTTCGATGTGTTCTGTCCTCGAGATGCCTGCCGTCCTCTGGGGGGCCCTCGCCAGGCATCCAGGACTATCGAACAACGGCTCGGAATGAAGTTGTTCTAGTACTCATGCGGCTCTAAGTTCTGCAGAGGCCGTCTAAGAATGACGCATCGTCACAAGCCACCAGGCGGCGTCGTGTTGTTGGCGATCGGACTTGTAGGCCAAGGGTGAGGATCAGATCGAAGGGTCGTCCGCTTCCCGGGCGTCTTGGTCCCCTGCCAGATCGAGGTGGGTTGCGTCTGCGGTTCGCCTCCCAGGAAGACCTTGTGGTGGCGCCTACTGGAGACGTGTAGTGGAGCTAACAGGAGGCGTGTGGTGTGCCGCGTTGATTGGAATACGCTTGGTTGCGTGAGCACTCTGCTGCCCCCCAAAAAAATCAAGGAGGAACATAATAGTAAGTCAGGCGCTGGGGCAGGAGGGTCAAACTCGGATAATGCTGGAGGCGCCCCTGGCCCAAGGTGTCTTCCAGATTTCCAAGGAGGCACCCGCGGCCTCCCAAGCACCCCTCACGAGGCCCAAGAGGCCCCAGTGCCATCATAATCTGATGGAGCGAACATCTGGGACGCCATGAATCAGGAACTGATTCAGCAACCCGCGACACAACGGACAAAAGGGAAGTGGTGGGATCAGGGGGACCTCGGCGGGAAGGGGAGCGTGCCATCTTCATGTGCCTCCTCTCCCCATCCACAGCCACTCCTCTCTCCTCCTTCTCCGCCCTCTTGCCTGCTGTTTCAATTAGTGAACAGACAGGCTCATGCTCGTGCCCTCCTCCCCGCTGGGACTCTGTGGAACCCTCCAGAGGCGGCACCCACCAGAAGGCTCCACAGCCTCAGCGACAATGTACAGCAACCTCCTCCCTCCTCCCATCCCTTCCTCCCCTCCTTCATCTTTCCTTCGCCAGCTCTCCTCGCTCCTCTCTTCTCACACCTCACCCCACCCTCCCGCATACCTCTCCTTCATTCCTCCTGCCTCCTCCCCCCCCATTCCCCCATCCCAGGCCTCTTCGGATCCCGATGACAAAAAATCCCAAGTCAGCCCCGACACCGCCTAGGACCCCCTAGAAGCCAGTGAACCCTCCTCATCCCTCATCCCTGCTCCTCAGCCCTGCTCGTCCTCCATGTTTTTCCCTCTCCTCCCCCTCCTGCTCCTCCCCCTCCCCAAGCTCATACTCGTGCTTCTCCTCCTTTCTCTTCCTCCTCCCTGCTCGCCCGCTCGCTCACTCCCCATCCCCTCCTCCCCTCCTCCTCCCCTCCTCCTCCCCTTCTTCCTCCTCCTTCCTCCCCCCCCCTCCCTCCACCCCGTTCCCCCCCAGCCCTTCTCTCCACCCCGTTCCCCCCCTTCATCCCCTTGTCCCCTCGTTCTATCCATCCCGTTCGATGCCACTCCCCCCTCCACCCCGTTGCATCCTCCCTCCCCGCATCTGGCGAGGGCGCCGCGCGCGCGGAGTTGTCGCGGCAGTTTGCCGAGCTGCTGGACCAGAGGCTCGCCGAAGCAGGCCAGCGGCGCGCCGCCGTCGGCGCCTATGGCGGCGCCACCATCGTCGGCAGCTTCGTCCGCGGCGGCGACGCCGGCGGCGTTAGCGTCGTCGTCGCCGTCGCCGTCGTCGTCGTCGTCGTCGGAGGAGGAGGAGGAGGAGGAGGACGAGGAAGAGGACGGGGAGGAGGAGGAGGAGGAGGAGGAGGAGGAGGAGGAGGAGGAGAAGGAGGAGGAGGAGGAGGAGGCGAAGGAGGAGGAAGGGGAGAGGAGGAGAAGAGGAGGAGGAGGAGGAGGAGGAGGAGAAGGGGGGGGATGGAGTGCGGAGGGGGGGGTAGGCAGAGCCGTCGGCGTCGCCGTCGTCGCAGGTGGAGGAGGAGCAGGAGCAGGAGGAGCAGGAGGAGCAGGAGGAGGAGGACTATCACACATTCACGAGGAATGCAAAGGGCTAAACCCAATCCAATAGCAGGAGGAGCAGGAGGAAGACGGAGTTGGAAGGAAGGCGGAGGGAGGAGGAGGACGAACAGGAGGGTGAGGAGGAGGGGGAGGGGGAGGTTGATGATGATGATGATGATGATGATGATGATGATGATGATGCTGATGATCATGATGATGATGATGGTGGTGGTGATGATGATGATGATGGTGATGGTGATGGTGGTTGTGGTGATGATGATGATGATGATGATGATGATGATGATGATGATGATGAGGGTGGTGATGGTGGTGATGGTGATGATGGTGGTGGTGATGATGATGGTGATGGTGATGGTGGTTGTGATGATGATGATGATGATGATGATGATGATGATGATGATGATGATGATGATGATGATGGTGGTGGTGATGGTTGTGATGGTGATGATGGTGGTGATGATGATGATGATGAGGAGGAGGAGGAGGAGGTGGAGGGCGGAGGGGGGAGTTAGCAGAGCCGTCGGCGTCGTCGTCGCAGGTGGAGGAGGAGCATGAGCAGGAGGAGGAGGAGGACCATCACACATTCGGAAGGAATGCAAAGGGCTAACACCAATCCGATAGCAGGAGGAGCAGGAGGAAGAGGGAGGAGGAAGGAAGGCGGAGGGAGGAGGAGAGAAGGACACTGGCGCTCCCAACGCGGAGCGCATAAAGACCATCGAGGATATCGGAAACCCTTTGCGACCAGAGAACGCACCAGATCGTGTCCAGGACCACAACCAAGTGCCGCTGAGGACCAGCAGCACTGGCTACGTGAACAAATGCGGTGATCCGCATTACGCGTTCAGCTACACACCCAACGGGAACAACCGCGCAGAGGTCGGCACAGCGCAGGGTTGCAGAGGGATTGTCAAGAAGGACTGACAGTCACAGGTTGCGCCTCACCAGCTGTCCACATACTACACATACTTACGCCTATATAGGGGCACCGCGCACATGGCTTTCAAGACAGACGACCACTACAGCAAAAACTTATTTCGCAACGACAGACGAAAGATGACAGGCCACAGTATGCGAAATAATGGGCGAGGTGATCAGGTTCGACGCATCCCGCCACTCTGGCAGCTGCATGTTCTTGGGCCAACATTGGTTTCAGCGACCTCACCAACTACCACGTTACCTGGACACCAGCAAGTACAAGGGCGAGGACGACGCCATCAACGGAGGCTATGGTAAGCAGTGGCCGCTCGTCACCACCCCTTGCCATAAATCGAGGCAGCTCGCCGAGAGACAGCCTCCACTACTGATGCTTACCACACCGTTCAAGGGACGACCGCCAGGACGTATCCACAACGCCTACCCCAAGAAGGTGTCGAAAACCAGAGCCTTCGTGATGGAGGAGCGCACCACCGACCGCAGCAACCACGTGGAAGTGGACGTCGCCGCACACGTCGATCTCGCACACAGGGGCGCCGCGCCAGACTACAATGTCTTGACATGATCGGAGGCTAGGACCATCTGCGTGTACCTGAAAGAAGTGATGCAGACCATGGGAGCCAATGGCACCCAGCCAACCACTGACGCGCACATTCTTTCGGAGGACAGCCGGCACATCTCGCCGCATAACGTCGGGGGGTTACATACGCTTCGTGGAAGACCCACCCGAGACCAGGTACCGCATTGCCGCTTCAACCAGAGTGAGACCAACCACTTCGTCCACATTGAGGCAACCACTCGGTCCGGGGCCACCAATGAAGCTGACATTCGTATCGGACGCAGGCAAGTTCCCCACGTGGCCAGCCGAGGTCGGCGAGCTACGCCACACGGGTCAAGACCTTGTCTACATGGATTTAGCCCTGGAGAAAACGGCGATAACGGCAACGTCCTCAGAGGACCATCGACGATACGGACAACGTAGACAAGGAGCTGTTGCCGCCGCCATCGCCAGCGTCCATCCAGAGGACATCGAAGACACCACGCTATCCGAATCGCCATCCAGCTTCGACATCCACAGTGGTCCATTCGTTATGAGAACGACTGGCTACGACCAGACACCAGGAGAACATCCTGCAGTGGTCGACAAGCGCCTGGCAGACATGCGACAGTCGCACGAGCTGAACCAGGACCTCGGGCACGACGAGAAGCTCAACTTGGAAGGCCCCGCTTCGATTCCAGGGTTCCAAAGCCTATGCCACGCCCGGCAATCAACCGACCCAGTTGCCAGAATGCCACCCGCCCTCATATCGCACAAGGAGAGAATGGCCAAAGCTATCCCCCACTGCCCGCCGCTTGCGACGACGGCTATAGCGCCGGCATCCAATCCAGCACCGTCGACAAGTCCAGCATGGACGAGTCGCCTGACGGTCGGAAAGGGTCGGCCCGACATGCGACCGAGGTGCAATCCATGCGCCTCAGGGAGAACCACGCCCCTGACCAACGATCCAGAGGCGCGCGACCCCGACCCCCCCGATTTCGGCCAAGGCCTTCCGGCGCTGCAATGGCACCACGCGCAGCTGCCATGCCCGCGACGACGAGCGTGCCCCGATAGTCCCGAGGCTACGGCGCGCCACCGCAATCAGTGGATTTACAGCCCCCGTGGGAGTTCCCGAAGAATTGGAGCTGCGAGCCCCCCCACGATGCGCGCGCGCCGATCGACCGCGCGAAGCCACTGCTCCACGCGCCCCCCCCCCCGTCGCCATCCCCGAGAGCGGCCCTGCGCCGACGGCGAAGGGGGGCCGCGCGTCGCTGAGGAGCACGAACATCTACGACATTCGCGTGGCCTCGCCGACGCCGCTGGCCGGCCGGCTGGCCGGCCGGCCGCCGCCGTTGCCGACGGCGCCGCGGCGCCGCCGCCGTCGCGCGCCGACGCCCGTCGAGGCAGCCGCGCAAGCCCAAGCCAGCGGCCAGCTGCCCATGGACGCGCGCCGCGACGAAGGCGACAGCGGCGGCAAGGGTCGCGACGACAAGCAGAGGGGGATCGCGACAGCAGTTTGCAACGCCGGAACCGCCGAGACCGCCCCGAGTCTCGGCCGCGCGCGTCGAGGCCGAGGGGGCTTGTGGCGAGAGGACGCATGGCGAGGCGACCCGCCATATCGCACGAGCAGGGAGAGGGCCCCGCTTCGCAGCGCCGCACCATGGAGGGAATTGGCCCCAGGCTCGCGATTGCGCGCGAGGCCCACGCCAGCAGCATCGCAGACGCCACGGTCGACACGCGCGCGACCGTGGGCACGGGGGGCCTGGGCGAGTACCGCATGGCAGTACACGGCGTCATGCGCCACCTTATCTACTTCCGGAAGGCAAAGGCCCGGCTGCGGACGCGGGTTCTTGCGACGGCATCCACGAGCAGCATATCTAATCTAATCATTTCGTCTCATCCTACTGAAATTGCCTCCACCCGCCGCGCATCCATCCAAGCACGCGCGGAACAGCTGCACCTGCATCGACGACCCCATCAACCGTTCGGCAACCTCGAACCCTTGTCTCATGCTGCCTGCAGGACCAGCGGCGCGGGCCACCCTCGCCGCGAGGATCCCCATCATCAATGTCACACCTCCTAGCGTTTAGATCTCTACAGTTGCAGCTGCCCGCGCGGGGGGCAGCTTTTCCTGTGCCTCTTCCATTTTTGCCCCGCGACGGCGAGACCATCATGCAGCTGGCCCGTACTCATTTCGCAAATCCTACACCTATACCATACCCTGACTGAGCACCCAGTGCAACCGCGGCAGCAGCAGCACTGGCTGAACGCGACGCAGCACAGCAATCTGCACATCTCGCCGCACCACGGCAGCAGCTACTCGCTTCCACCACGCCCGCGACGAGCAGAGCTTCTTCTTCAGCCACTACTTCCACCAACGCGCTCGGTTACATCTACCTTTCCTACTCCTCCTGCAACCTGGACCTCGACCCTCGCCTTTGGACTTCGACCCTCGCTTTCGATCTGGTGCATCCTTGTCATACCTGCACCCTGCCTCCAACCTTCTCCGAGGAACCCCAAACCCCAATCTAACCTACCCCTCCCTCTACAATTGTTCCTGGCACCCCACCCCCAGCGTGCGGAGTACGCTCGGAGCGGCGCCAGAGGCGCCGCAGGGGGGCCCCGCGCAGATCCCAGAAATCCGTGCGGACCATCGACAGTTCATGGTAGCGCAGTTTGTTTTGCTTCGAGGCCCGATCGGCGACTCTGAAGGGAATGGTTTGCAAACGGTGCGGTTTGCAACCCGCGCCCTGGTTGACGGGCGAAGACCTCGACAGAGTTCTCCCCCGCCTTTCGCCCGCTAACCTCCCCGTTCCGCCGCCGCCAGCGCCAGGACAGGGGAGGGACCAGGACACGGGTGGGTGGGGTTTGGGATGGACATCCAAGGGCCAGCAATGGCACGGGCCACCGCCGGGGTACAAGCAGCTCCACGGCGGCCGTGGACCATTTGGCCGCGCCCGATTAAACAACGAACCGAGATTGCCACCGTTCCCTCTCTTCGGGGGTTGGTCGCCCGCGCCCCCCCCCCTCCCTACTCGCCCGCTTGTCCCCCCCCCCCCCGCGCGGCCCACTCCCGCTGCGCCGCTGCGTCGCTCCGCAATTCTCGCACCCCTCCTCTAGATCTCTGGACCTCAGGGGCTGGAGGCGGGCTCCCCACCCCTAGGCGGGTCTCGGCTCCCCCATGGGGGCTGAGGCCCACGTTCGGGCCACCTCCGTGCCCGCACAGCACCGGCGCGCACAGGCGGCACCAGTCCCACCTTGCTGCCCTCCCTGTCCAGGGTGTACCGTACCACAGTTGTCGTTATGTTTCAAATGTTTCAAATCGATTGTTTCGTCATGCCCCACCGCAGACGGCAGGGGGACGGCTGCGAGGGCTCCAGTTTCCAGCGAACAGACAAGTCCGAAGTCGCGAGTCACGAGCAGGACAAGGACAGGAAAACCGGGGGACGCGCGGAGTTGATGGCCAGACATAGCTCGGGGGGGTCCAGAGGACTAAAGATTTCCTTCGGTAAATCGCTGTTGCCCCTCTGATTGCGGCGGCTGCGACGGCGACGGCGAGCGCGACCCCGAGCGCCCCGGCAGGGCCCGACAGCGACGGTGCAGCGCGCGCGGCGCTGGAGGAGGCGCTGGAAGAGGCCCGCCTCCGGGGGTGGGTCAGGGGCAACAGGCGGAGGATTGTACGGGGGAGCGCATCGACCCCCGATCGCCCACTCATCGCCGAGAGGGGCCGCATAGCCCCACACTGCCAAAGAACTTGCGGATTCGCTATCGGGTGCCAATCGGCGATGTATCGCCGATTCCAGGTCGATGTTTTCCCCTATGCTCCACACCCCCTGTCGTTGCCCCTCAGACTGGCGCAGGGAGGGAACTGCGACGCGATTGCTCGAGGTCGGGGGCGTTCAGGAGATGGGTGATGGCTCTGGGCATTCCCAATTCACGAGGAAAAAACACATACACACATAATCGTCGATTCGGATGAAAGTATGGAAATTAAGGGAGGTAGAGGGGAAGTAAAATCTCCAGAACAAATGTCAAATATAGGGAATGCTGAGACGTGTGTGTGTGTGTGTGTGTGTATTCTTAATTGTGTGTCCCTGGGTTCCCCTAACAGATGGGGTTGTCAGACGTTTTCAGAGGTTCTCGGCAGCTTTCCAGCCTCGCGACGCGTTCCAGCGGCCGCGTTTTGCTGGCAGCGTTTCGGGGATCCCTGGATCGCCCTGAACGGCCGCTGGAGATCCAAACTATGACCCGAAAGCCTCCGGTGGGGTCTAAGAATTGCGCCGTATCGCCGACGTATCGCAGTGCGGATGGGTGCATTCACCACCACACAAAAGTTCCTTCATGCCCAACTTAGGCCCAGAGCCTGGTGCACAGCGGCTTCCAGCCAGGCTGGGAGTTGCTCGGCCCGAGGCTTCGCTGGAGGCCCTTGAGGCTAAACAAAAAACGACGCGGAATAGAAAGCTCAAGCAGCAGTAGCCAAACGCAGCGCGCCGCAAAACGGTGCGGTGACCACACCGAATGGTGAGTCAGTGAGGCTTGTGAGTGACCGAACGGTGTTGGAACTCGGATCGTTCTCCGAGGATGTCTCGGGCGACTGAAGCCTCCAGTGTTCCAACAGCAGTGATCGTGCGGTGAGGTCTTGGGGATTCCGAGGTCACCGCACGGTCTATTACCGCACCGTTTGCGGACCCCCACTTGCCAGCTGGAAGCGCGGAACGTGGCTGGACCCTCGTGTACTGCTGCTTGCATGCTCCGCCGGCCTCTGCATGGGCTCACTGTGGAAACCTGGCCCGATGACCTCATCGGGGCGCCACCTAAGATTCCATGAGGTGCTTGGCAGGCGGCACAACGCTCTCCCATCCGAAAGGTATTAACCGAAGACGAATCAAGGTCTACAAATGTCAGCAAACGTGGACTCCCAGCAGTCAGTTTTTGCACTGTGGATTTGGAAGCAATGTGGTGCAGCTAATTGTTACAGTCACACATGAATCGACATAATCCATGCGCTTGCCAACAGTTCACCCACCCAGCGGCAACCTGGCTTGCAAAGCCCATGCGGAGGCGATTGCGATGAGTGCTTGGTGTTGGCTGGTGCATCTCTTCGGCCGCGCCAGCCCGCGCATGCTCGAGCGCACAGCGGCCAGCCAATTTTGCGCGACCGACGTGGCCGCGGCGGCGCTGACCGCTGGGCACTTCCCAGCGAGCACATCAGTGTGAGTGACTTGGGTGGGCGCGGTATAATGGCGTCGCCGACAACTGGTAGACACGATTATGAGAGTAACGATGATGGTGACAATGATGGCGATGACGACGGCAAAACCGAAAACGGCGCCGATGTTGATCACGGCCGCCGATGAAGATGACGATGTGTTCGCGTCAGCGATGAAGGTTTTTGACGGAGTTCGACATACGCGCGCGGCCTACGCGCGCGAGTGGCCCGCGTATTTTTTTGACACGGATCGCGCCCCCACCCCAGCACGCACGCAAGGGCGTTCGAATGAACTCGACATGCGGCGCGAAGGCCCGTTTGGCAGAATTCGGGGAACATGTTGGACCACCTGCGTTTGTCTTAATAATCTGCAAAGGCGCGGGCGCAGGATTTTCTCGAACACTGGTGTTGCCAAACCATGTGTTGTTTGATTTGTTCCGAGGCACACGATTTTGAAGTTTCTACGCCACCGGATCTTTGTTGTAGATTCCAGCATGCGCGCGCGACGACGTGCGCGTGTGCGTTTTGCCTGCTTCTGTTGCAAAGGACTCCTGTGACAGCACGCGCGCGAGGGCCTTCGAACGATTTGGACACGTGCGCGCAAGAGGCTTAATGGGAAATTGGTTCCCTTGACATGTTGAAGCATTTGTGGTTGTTAGAAAAATCCGCAAGGGCGCGAACGCAAACTTTATTTGAACATTTGGTTGTGAAACCATGTGTTGTATCTGTTGTCGCGACACTCGATTCTGGAATCTCTACGAAACCTCCGGTGTTTGAAGGATGTCGGCATTCGCGCGACGACGCGCGTGTGCACCTTTTTTTTGTTGCAAGGGGTGTTTGAAAATTGCGAGTTGTTTCCTAGACGAGTGCGCGCGCATAGTGGCCTTCTGCAGAGGAGGATTGGGGGTTCGAGCTCCGGCCTGCCTGGTATTGTACGAAATCAGATTGAGGATGGACTACGGGGCAGAATCATATTCAAACTGCAATACGACGCGGTGTACCGTTCACCCTCGGGGAGGAGATCTTCATATATTTGGTGCAAACCAGAGATGGCAACGAACCGGGCGGCAAAGAGGCGAAACCTCGCCGGACCCACCCAGCGCCCGAGGCGCGGCAACGGGCGGCAACGTGTCCCAACCTCGTCAGACCAACCCAGCGCACGAGGCGGGAGCGAGGAGGCAATTGGCAGCAACGTGCCGAAACCTCGCCAGCCCATCCAGGGCACGAGGTGGCAACGAAGTGGGCGGCAACGTGGCGAAACTTCGCCAGACCCGCCCAGCGAACGAGGCGGTAATGTGGTGGCAACGGGTCCAAACCCCGCTGCACCCACCCAGCGCACGACGCGGCAATGAGGCGGTCACGGGTGGCAGCGTGGCGAAACTTCGCTGGACCCATCCAGGGCACGAGGTGGCGACGAGGCGTCAACGAGGCGGCAACGGGCGGCAACGTGGCACCTCGCCAGGCCCACCCAGCGGACAAGGCGGCAACGAGGCGGCAACGAGGCGGCAACGGGCGGCAACGTCTCGAAACCTCGCCAGACACCCCCAGAGCACGAGGTGTCAACGAGGAGGCAAACCTCGCCAGGCTCACCCAGCGCACGAGGCGGTAGCGTGGCGGCAACGGCTGGCAACGTGGCCAAACCTCGCCATACCCCTCCAGGGCAGGAGGTTGCGAGAAGGCGGTAACGGGGGGCAAGTTGGCTAAACCTCGCCGCGCCCAGCCAGCGCACGAGGCGGCAACGTGGCGGCAACGGCCGGCAACGTGGCGAAATCTTTCCGGGCCCGCTCATCGCACGAGGCGGCAATGAGGTGGCAACGGGCGGCAACGTGGAAGCTCTTCGCTGGACTCAACCTCAGGGAGACAGGTAATATCTTCTGAGTACAAAGGCTGTTTAGGGAACAAATGTTCGGAGGTCCGCCTGGATTCCTTGGGTCGGCGCTGGGCTACCCTGGCGGCGCCTTTGGCGCCGCCCCTGGCGCGCTCCGCGCCCCAGGCAGGGGAAACCAGCGCCGATCAAAGAACTCTGGGCGACCTCGGAAAGGTTATGTTTTCCATAGCCCTCGCACTGGTGGATACGAGTGAGGGGGCGGCGGTGACGGCGGGAGTCTGCGAGGCTCTGAACGAGTCCGCCGCAGACGCCCGTTTCTTACAAATTACGCAACGAGTTCGCTGCAGGCGCCGAATTCTCGTCACAGCCATGTGGTTGGGTCGCAGTAGGGTCGCGGGCGTGTCGCGGATGGGTCCCCGAGTCCGTCGCGGGGCGGGTCGCGGGGCGGGTCGCGGTTGAGTCGCGGGCGGGACATCAGTAACGCAACGCAACGCAACGCGCAGAGTCCGCATTGCGGAATTACCATTTCAGCCACGCAGCCCTTCCTTCTGAGTCGTACACCAGGAGGTGCGTGGACAGACAGAGCGCGGAAAATGCAATAGACAAAACATTTGAAGAATCACAATGAGAGAATGTGATGGCGCAGCGTGCGCTTCCAGCCCGATACGGACTGCGCTGCGTCTACCGTCGCGTGAACACTGCCGAAAATTCCTAAGGATTGCTTCAACATGATGGGAGCGAACTCTCTGCTCGGCGCGCCTCTGCGCCTCACTCCGGCAGCAGTCGCCGGCGTGAAAGAGTTTGGCGCGAACGTGGTGCGGCGAAGCAAGCTGTTCTCACTTGAGCGCAGCACGTCGCCGAACAGAAGCATCTGCCGGTATAGTAGCAGGGTACTGGCACCCGTGTGTTGCGCAAGCCTCAGCGTTTCTGCGTTTGGTACTCTGGACATCCATGACGGCTTGATGTCAATGATTTTTCTGAGGCACCTTTTCTGGAAGCCGTCCAGACGCCGTGTTTGGGCTTTGTTCAAGCATGCCCCAGCGAGCCCGTAAAGCAATTTCGATTCCACCACTGAAGAGAAAATGCGTAACTTGCGTCTCCAAGTCAGATAGGAATGGGACCACAGTTTACTGAGCGACGAAAACACCCTTTTTGCTTCGCCGATCTTGCGCCCCAGTTCAGGCCCTGCGTCTGCGTCGGCTGACAGATGCGCACCTAAGTACTGAAGCTGCTTGACTTGCTTGAGAGCCGTGCCATCGGGTGCACAAACGTCTCCTTTCGCCCCCACGGCAAGGACCTGGAACTTGTCCCAGTGCAGCTCCATGCCGTACCTGCGACCCGCGTCAGAAATTGCTTTCAAGTGCTCATTCAAGGATGCGTCGTTTGTCCCAATAAGCAAGGTGTCGTCCGCGTAGACGCACTCGCACAAGTCCCCCTTCGCGTAAGCATCCTTCGCTCCACCTTCCAAGAGGCCGACAGCGTCGTGAAGTAGCACTGTCATTACGAGGATAAACAGAAGTGGGCTGAGCGTGCACCCTTGAGAGATGCCGGACAGCTGCGGCCTCGGAGCAGAATCGCTACCGCATTCGCTGACGACA